TTTTTGGGTACATTTTTGCAAAAGCAACACTAATACATTCACTGACATGACGGTCAGAATTGACAAACGTCAAAATTGAAATAGTGTAGTAAAATCTCCGAAAACATCCGATTGCTCCGAAACCCGTGCGGTAAAATCCCGGAAATGTCAGAGGTGGCTCAGATCTGGACGTGGTGGTTAAGTGACTATTCCCGCACGCTACATCGGTGCGTAATTGGGTATTTTACAGACGGGAGTAGAAAGTAGTATATTATGCAACAAGTGCGATAAACGGCATTTGGCTCACGAGTTTATTTGACACGAGCGGAGCGAGTTTTGAATAAACGAGTGAGTTAAAAAGTTTATCGAACGTGTTGCATACAATACGTTTTCTACGACCGTTAGTTTTTGGGTACATTTTCGCAAAACAACACGAATACATTCACTGACATGACCGTCAGAATTGACAAACATCAAAATTCAAAGCGTGCGAAATATCTCCGAAAACATCCGATTGCTCCCAAATCCCTGCGGTAAAATCCCGGAAATGTCTGAACGAAATTGACGTGGTAATGTGACGCTTCCCGCACGCTAGATCGGTGAGTAATTAAGTATTTTACAGACGGGATTAGAAAAAGAATATTTCATAACCTTACATATACTACCAAACTTTCTCTAAGCCTAAAAGAATTGGGCAAAGCTGTTCTGTATTATTTGATATCTAGTTTTATCAGCACCGGTTAGGACTGGCCAGTCCAATGGAAGAGAAACACTGAGACGTACGTTATATCAAAATGGTATAATATGGAAATAAACAAATATTTAATTTTCATATTTTAAAATAATTCTTTCAGGAATCACATTTTGTTTATGAAATAAAAAGTTAACAATCACAGAGTCGAGAATAAAGAAAAATAACCATAACTCTTTAAAAGCGAAATCGATTGTCCCTTTTACAATTTAATAGTTTTGATGTTAGTCAAATTTGACATTGATATGCTTGTCACTTAGCTCAAATGTCCTACGAAAAAATCCCATTGAAAAGAGACCAGAATTCGATATCACTTTTCGTTTAAGAGTTAGGGGAGGTCTATTTACGGCTGCGCTGTGCATCCATAGAACGGCTATGTCTGCAGCGAGTTATTTTCGTACTTTAACATTTAATATATGTTTATTTGCACCCTGGAAACTGTTTCCACAACATTTTCTAATATTAACCTTAGAATGAGGACTGAGATAAAATCAAATCTTTTGTTATTCAATGAAAGGTACTTCAAAGTTCTTATATCATATACTCTATAAAATTATTACGAAAACAACAGTCGCAATAGAGACGAACAAAACCACCATTTCGTATTTTTATAAACACCTCATTATAACTGCTACTGCTGGTTTTCGCTTATTACATCGTAAAGAAAATAGAATATTTTTTTATCGGCGTATCTGCCGCCGAACAACTGCCAGGACAAAGCAAACATTTATCTTAATAAACTCAACTGGCACGGCCAGCCTTGTCTAAAACTAAAAGGACACCAATTTCTTTATCCCTTTCGAATCTGTCGGTTGTTTTAAACTGCACATCGTCGAATTCCTTTGTTCTTTTTGCATCTTCGAGCATGTCCTCCGTTAACAAAGGGGTTCTCTTGTTTCAAGGCAATTGTTTCTGGGACACAATACTTAGCCGCCCGAGATTTATTTCGTTATGTTCTGTGTTTAAATAATCTGCGTCGTCTTTTGTCTACTTGAGACAAATATTTTAATCTTTGCATGAATCGGAAACTTGCGCCCGTACGGGAACGTCTTCCGAAATTCGTAAATTTCTAGACATTTCTCTTCATATATTTCGATAGACAATGTAAATGCATATTCAGGTATAGGAAACGGAAAACATAAACGAAAGTGTTATTTCGTTTAATTTAGGTTTATCGAACTGTTGTGTCAGGATTTGTTTCTATAAACGTATTCGCGATGGCAGAGCAAAGTGGGCAGCCCAGAATATTTTTATGCTACGCTTTCAAAAAACTGGGAAAGACATGTAAATAATATTTTTTGTTATCTGACCACATCATCAGGAATATTCTCTCCTTTCTAAACATTCTTATTAATCGAAAACCAAGACTCAACCTTAACCATGATGATATATACCTAAATACATGATGACATCAACATCCAGCCTAAAAATCTTCCGTGATTACTTTCTTTGTTTTTCTAACCCAAATCTGTTGACAAGGAATTAATTAATACATTTCATGTCATTTTTTCTCTCAAATAATTTCTCTTATCAAGATATTATATCTTCGATTAAAAAATACACACACCAAGCATTTACACAAAGTAGCTCCGCAATTGATCCTCAGTTTGCCACTGTAGTATTTGCACACGTTGAAAATGTGACCATCAAATATCAAAAATTAAAAAAAAAACAAAATCTAAATTCCCTACATGTCATAAAATCTTCTCACATCTATGTTCGGTTAGCAATTAATTGGTAGCAAATGTTTTATTTTAAAAGTTGAGAAACTATTGGTATTGGTTGGTTATTAACTTTTTTTTACTTGTAGCTGAAGCTAGAGTTATGGATAGTTTTGGTTAGTTAGATAGTTTTCTCGGAAAGAAAAGTGTCATGCAAAAGTTGTACGAATTGAAAATGCAGCCACAGTGATTTTTTGAAAACCTTTATTTCCACTATCGTATCTATTTTTTTTTTTTCACTTATTTTCATTATTATCCAATGATTTATTTCATTTTAACTAAAAAAATTACCCGAATTTTGAAATATGATTTAAACAATTTGTCGATATTTCATTTTTTTATGTTACTAGAATAATTTGAATTTAAAATGAACAACTTATTAACAAATTAATTGTGACAAAAGAATTTAATATTCTTACTTGAAATTTTAAGGGCTTCTTTTATCGAGCTAGTTCAATATGATTTGCGCTTGGTTATTAACAATATAAAAAACAACATCGCATAACTCTTTTGTCTATAAAACGATTCGTTTGAAACTCTTCTTCGAAAAAACTATAGCTTCAGCTGCAAGTCAAGAAACTGATTTTTTCGCACCTTAATAAAATCATCAGCCTAATAATATAAACCACTATACAAATTTCTGTCTCGCTTCCATCTGGGATTCAGTCATCTGTGACAGACAACGCTCTAAAGAAGCCAGTACCATGCTTGGCGAATCGTCAGCGAGACAGAGGTAATACCCGACACAGGAGCTATATAAATATAAATAAACTCAGTATAGTTCGGACGAAGTAAACATTTAATCAAGGCCGATAAAGCTTTTTATTTTCTGATTATTTTTCATTCCCAAAGTTAATGTTTCTTAGCTGGCAGATTCAAAAATTTCAATACTGACATATGTAACAAACATTAATAACAAGCATTTTACCGCTCCGAAAGACCATTGGAAAAAATAGGCATCTGTTTTTCACATATGATTAAAAAAGGCGATGTGAACCGGTAAGGAAAAGGAAATAGATATGGATAATTACATCGACAAGAGGAAAAATAATATGGAAACAAACAAAATACCAGAATACTACTTTTGATAAAACGTATATTTTAAAACCATTAATCCTAAAAGAATTAAAAACAAGGAACCTAAACAATTCTTAGGCAAAATTTAACAACATATTAATGGCATATTCGTATTCGTAGGGCCAAGAGTAAGACGATAGGAGAAAACTCTAAATAAATTCAATGGGAAACATCTCTGTCTAGATATAACTTATTAACCTAAATAGTTTATGTGAAAGACTATCTTAGAACTTTGTATATTCTCTTAGTTCAAATTTATTAAATTAAACTTTTTAAGTGAAAATCGTCCATTTTCTATTCAATCAAAAAGACCATAGTAAACATAGTCATTTTTTTAGCCATGTCACATTGTTTCCGACAATTAAGCATAGAGTGCTGACTTGAAAAAGGGATTAAATTTGCCCTAATTACATTAAAATTTACCTTAAATCACCACACTATCACAAACCCCAAATGTTACCACTAAAATTTCGGTAATGACAATTACCATTATTAGTAGTAATTGCCACTTATTTTTCCTAAACTTTACACGAGAAATCTCAACCTATTAATCCCTATTATACCGATAATAGAGGGTACTTATGAAGCAACTATAAACAAAAGTTGAGAAGGTTCATTCAACATGGGTCTGAGCGAGATTTAAAATCTCGCTGGTAACCAATGACCTTGTTGAATTCAACAACCAACATGGACGCTAACAGATCGTCAATAAATTTGGATACGGCATTTTTTAAGGCAGTATTTTCTCAAAATATGCGTAGATCTCGTTAAAAGTTCTGGGAAAAAGATTTAAGTGTGTAAGAACCGCTATTTCGAAAGAAAGTGGGGCAAACTGCGGGTTAGTTGCGTGACCTGCAAAGACATGCATGAAAATTCATTTCATTCTTTACGAAAACATAAAGCTACTATATTATATGTGCTCTAAAATATACATTTCGTTTAATACTTGTATATCGTCGAATACAGAGCCAGAGTGTGTTATGCTGGGTGCTACGCAGAGTCAAGGGATGAGTTTCCGTTTAATCTTAAAAAAATTACGAAACTAGATTAAAGGGCAACATGAAACCGGGGCCACTATCTACTATCTTTAAAAAATCCTAGCTTAACGATTTTCCTGCTGAAGCGGAATAGCCCCATTTAAAAAAAAAAAAAAACGTAAAAATGCATTATTTTTATAACAGCCGTCCCATCGACCGAATCCCTTCTGGTGGAAACCCTTAAAAGGCGGCCCACGGGAGGGGGCGTAGGATTACGCGCACATTAAACGCCCATATCGAATTACTCATCGGCAGCAATGCGGAATTGAAAAAAAAAAGAACGGAAGGAAAACAATTATTTGTGTAAACAAAAGTGGATCCGTGTTTCCCGAGGTGGTGTCTTTTGTTACCGAAGATGTCCGACTACAGTCTGTGAACGCGATATTTAGAAATCTCGCCGGCAGTTCTGTCTCGTCCGCTGTCGAGGAGTTCTCTGTAAAAGTTTATCGCGGGAAGCCGGTCGCACGTGCGTGGCGTAAACAAACGACGATCGCGGGAGCATGGTGGCTGTGTTGTGTCTGTGACGCGCATAGGGATGATCTAGCCGGGCAGCGAGGGCAGAGGCAACATGATTTGCAGGTGAGTTACGGTGGCGAAAGTGACACACGTGGCTGGTTTTGGAAGGGTCGATAACCCTCGCGTTCCCGCAGGAAAACAAGCAGGAGTGTTTTTACTGCAGTTCTATACTGGCCAATTGGAAAAAGAAATTGTGCTGGGAGGAATGAATTAGTTTGAGTTGGTTGTTCTGTGTGGGCGCTGCTTGAGTTAATTTTTTTAAATTTTATCCGAATGCGCATTTTTTTTTACATCCTTTGTTCATTTGCAATATACAATATACTCTTAATTTTTATGAGCAAAAGAATAACGAACCGAAATTTAATTTGGTAAGTAGGCAGTACCAGTAAAGTTTCTTAAATTGTTACAATTACATTTCAGTCTATAAACAAAGTGAATATGGAGCTATACGGGACACAGAGAATTGAAATTTTAATTTCTGTTTTGTATGGAGACAAAATGAGAACTCAAGTTTGTATTTTGTTTAACGCAAAATATCCAGAAGGACACATAAGAAGTTTCACACTGAGTAAAATTGAGAGAAAATTTATAACAGGGCATATAATAGATCATATAGTTCCAGGTCGTCCAGGACACAAGGTTAAACATTTTATTGCAGGTTGAGGATACTACCCAGCGTGTATCTTCTGAAGCAGCGTCAAATAATGATGTTACAAAAGTATCATCCGTATAAAATTACATTACTAGATGAGCTGAATATTTAAATACTGTATTTTCCGGATAGTGGATTGGTAGAAGGTATATATAATTCTCCACTGGAATTTTTCGAGGGATATTTAACATTAAAAATGTATAAGGAAATACAAAACAGTTATATTATTTAAAATTTGGAATTGGATGCGAAACAAGACAAATTAAAAGAATATCCTCAGTAAGTTTTTGTAAACGTTTTTAAAGCGATTCGCGTATTGTCTCAATTTCTTTGACATGCCCTGTTTCTATAAGTTTTCTCTCAATTTTACTCACTTCTATCACTTGGATCTTGCAATGGGTCTTTCTGAATATTTTGCCTGAAACAAATTACAAACTTCTTCTTGACTTTTAGTTATATCTCCATTCAAAAAAAATAAAAATTTTAACTCTCCGAGTTTAATTTAGAAGCGCCATGTTCACTTTCTTTGCTGACAAAAATGTAATTATAATAATGTAAGAACTTTACTGTTACTAGCTACTTACGTGTTCATTTCAAAATTAAATTTCTGCTTTGTATTCTTTTCGTCATAAAAAGTAAATTTAAAGTAAAAGAAATTTGACGCAGAATTCGAAAATGGATTTAAAATAATGGTATATATCTAATTTTTGACCTGCCCTCTATATTTTTAAAAATGCTCAAGCAAAATAATGATGGACTCTCTTTTTTCATTTTTCTTGAAATCCAATAACTGATTTTAAAATAAACTTCTTCCTTATTTTTGCCGTTCAACATATATTGTCTTCTTATGAGTACCTAAATCGCTAAATAGTTTACTAAAGAAGTTTATCAAGGAAATATCTTAAAATTACGCTTAACTAACTAATAAGAACTGTACATAATTTTTCTTTAGATATAAGATATAAGTATTAAATATCGAAAAAAGAAAGTTTTGTTGATGAGATATGTTTTATATTTATAAATATTTGGAATTATTATATTGTTTCTGTTACTTATCTATCTCATTTTTTCTACTTAGTGATTTGTCCATAACAAGACCAATATATTTTAAAAACTTTTTTTTATTCTGTATCATCAATTTATATTTCAATATTATCTGGTTGTTTATGTTTTTGTATTTTTTTACTTTTTTACTTGGTTAATTAGTTAGTACCTACTATAAATTTCATCCTTATCCCTACCCTTAGAAACAAGAGCTCTATCACCAGCAAACGCATAAGATCTGGCAATAATATTATTTATGCCACACGCCACTGAATATTGTAACTATTTTCAAGTTTTCCTATGAACATAAAATTGAAAGAGAAAGGATTTTGATGAAATTCTCCAATGATAAAAATGATCTCGAACAACACCAGAAGAATAACGATCAAAACTTTAACAATTACATAAAATTATAGTGCTACGGTAAAACGGAGAGCCTAAGGAAATTATCTGATATTTTACTGATCATCATCTGATTTGATAAATTTACTCATATATTAAAAACACCTCGGAACTAAGTGTTAAGTGAACTTATACAGTTTGACAGAATTTAAATTCAAAAATACTAAAGGACGCACGAGGTCACATTAGAAAAATAACTGTAATACTTTTAACATTTTAAAAGCCAAGCAACGTGCCTTTTAAATAAAACTTTTTGAAGTCCTTGTATTAATATTGTAGTACGAAAAATAAACCACCTATTTTACCATTTTGGTCTTTAAGTAGGTAGACAGGAGATTTATAGTGTTGGGGAACTTTTGGTAAGCATTCTATTTTAGGTGTAAGTTCTTTAATGCTTTACTGCTAAAATTTTTATAAAAATTCTTATTTATTTATTTTCATTGTTGATTAAGGATTTGCAATTCATTCATATCATAAAATTAATTTTTCGACCCCATTGGAAGGCCATATTCTTCGTTATTATTCTAAATTTACTGCTTAGTTAGTTAAGTTAAATATATAATATTTTGTCGATAATCAAAAATGTAGTTAAAGTATGTAGGAATAAAAAAAATAATAAAATGATAATTTCAGTTTTTATTCTAGAGTTTGTTCAAAAGGTAATCCCAGGGCCCATTCAAAGTCCTGATAAAAAATGTCAGTACTTATTGACTTTTTTGAAAAAGCAGTCAATCCATGCAACTCAAAAAGATTTCTGATATTGCTTTCATTTGATAGAAAAAACTCGTGTTGTGGGAACTAGAATCTTCCATCTCTCACTTCCTCTCGTATGCCTAATTCAACGATATAGCAGAGGAATTCCATAACGACTTTTTCTCTTTAGATTTTAGCGGATCTTAATGTAAAGTTAATGAATATAGAGTACCACTTTGATTTTAAATTAAAATGAGCAATGCTTTTTTGTATATCGTTCGTTTGCATACGAATGGTTTACGTGGACAAACTGTAAATAAAGCATGGTTTTTAGTAGTCCATTCTGTTGATCAAGTTATTGGATCTATGCCATTGAAATGAAAAAGTGTCTATTGTGAACGTGTATTCAACGATATTGATCAATCATTTTTCGTTTCAATCTTCATTCATTCAATTAAATTGAACTGTGGTTGACGGCGAGGACAGGTTTAAAAATTGACAAATTATTCGAAAACTAGCGCCCACAATTTTGTGAATTTGAATATTCAATATTATTGAAACGTGTCCGTTCCGTTTAATGTCCAATGGTATAGATTCAATGTTACTTATCAATCGAACTGACTAAAGGCATATCACATTTCATTCAAGATAAATAAGAACGTGGTCTCTATTCAGCTATTTCTCTTTTAAATTTCATAGTTGCTTTTATTGAAACCGCGAGCAATAGTTTTCAACGGACCACCCGGCGGTCTCGGGTGTGGATAATGAGTGCAAGCGCTACGATAAAGGAAAAAATACGTTTTAAATGAGCATCGCAAGTTTAAATCAGGTGCAAAGGCGAGTATTGCGTTTATTACGCCGTTTTATGCCTTCGGGCTTTCGCGGCAAATGAAACGGAGTGCAGATTTGAGAACTAGTCTTGATTCTCGCCGCAGGGCAGCGTTGCAGTATACTTGTGTCGAGAATATTAAAAACGAAGAGTCCATTATGTTTCAGCAAGTGCAGATGAGATGAGTATGTGAATGGGATGAAAAACTTTGCTAGACTAGCTGCGACCTTACAGGGCGGCTCGAACATGGCAAACAGCAAGAATCAATCAATCATTCAATAAGTCAAGAACGTGCTTTATCATCAAGGAAGGTTATATTTTACAAAACTGACGTAATACCAATGGTAAAATTATAAGCGTAATGAAAATAGATGATAGATCAGCTTCAGCACAACTTTGCAATTCCTTATATGGTGGACAGTGTAGACCACGAAAAGAGAGTGAAAATGTTATGGTTAAGGAATGGACTATAGTCCTTTTATATGGTTAATACCACAGAATGTTAGAGAAATATTAAATGTGGCGTTTGATAGGGTTCTGCTTAGCTTAGCTGCATTTATGGGATAGGAATATACCAGCCATGCGCATGATGCTAATCTGATCAAGAGAGTGTACAAACCGGAGATAGTTGATATTTAACAAATTTAGGAAGCCCATGAATTGAATATTAATTTCACTTCATCATTTCAAAACGAGGACATAAATAAAATATTTCTAGAAAATAAACTAATCAATTCAAGTTCTAAAGTGTTGAGCTCGCTAGTTATAAATTTTTATTATGCCCACAACATAAAATATTTTACGATAAAACTGGCTCCATTAATTACGATAATGCATCAGATGTTCCGCGGAATGGGACGCCGAATTCGAATATTTCATAATCGTAAAATCCCCAAACAACTTCTGAAACGAACGCCTTTCCCGATCACCATTTAGTACGTTAAGTAGCAAGGACTGTAAGAATATTTACTGTTAGACGACAATAGTTTCAGTTAGTTTCATTATTATTGTCTGACGATGCCTGGTTAAGTAAACTATTTAATTATCTTGGTAAGCAATAAAAGTAAAATAGCGTGAAGTTGAGTAGAAATAGAAGCTGTAATAATTTTCCAAATCAGTGAACGAAGTAGCTTTATAGGTGTATGCAAAGATGCAAAAGGTTCGATTCGAAGAAAAGTTCACTCTTTCTATTTTGAAAATACCCACTCTAGACAGAATCTTGAGGAGACGATAGTATGTCTTTACTTGAGACCCATGAAATTGTTTGTTGACAAAAACAATACTTGAAAAATATAAAGCACTACCGCATGGAGTAGAAGAATATTTTTTCATGTTAATGAGACGGATAGAAAAAACTTCAACTCCAGAATTAGGAAACAAGAGACTATCGACTAGCTTACGAGCAAAGATATTATATTTGAAGAGAACGTGATAAAGAAAGAT